ATGATTTGCTGCTGTGACCTGTGTGTCCCGTGGTTTCGTCAGTTTTGTTAGGGATAACTAGTTGCCCCTTGGAACCATATCTGGGGGTTGATCTCGGGGATTCTGGGCTTTTGTAGGCCTGAGGTTGGGGCTCTGTGTCCTAGTCCCAAGCAGTAATCTGTGGTGGGTGGGTACCGCTGTCCTGGTAACAGCAGGCTATCTGGTGCACAGCAGGTCCCTGGGTTGGACCGGTCTGTGGGACCTATTCCAGGGATATACTGGGTGGCCTAAGTCTGTCCTCTTTGCTTAGTTCCCTGTGAGCATTTCTCCTGACAGTGACTCCCAGTCTCTGTTGCTCTGGGGCACACAGTTGGAGAGCCGGCACGCAGCAAGTGTTTGTGCCTGCTGCTGGAGCCCAGTCCAGTGAAGGCGACTTGGACCCGCCGTTCTGTGAGACTTTTTCCAGGGTAGGACTGGGTGACCCAAGTCAGAACCATTTCCTTCTTTCCCTGCGGATTCTTTCTCGACAGGGACTCCCAGTCTGTGGTGTTTTTGTGCCCACCGATCAGCCTGGGAAGGTGATCGGGACACGCAGGTGTGTGGCTCTGGTCCGGCGACCTAGTGCCTTTGCGACCCGGGATCTCTTTCGGGTTCTGGCTGGGTGGCCTGAGCTTGGACCCACCTGATTCCCATGCTGTGGGGGTTTCCTCTCACCTGGGAATCACGATCGCTGTTGTTTTAGGGCCCAGAGTTCAGTCTGTACAGGAAATGTTGTCCTGCTTCTCAGAAGCCCTGTTCTCCTGGCGCTGCCATCTTGTCGTCCCTGTCTACTTGATGAATTTTAAGCCAATGAGAGATTCTGTCTCCAGAAGAGGTGGATAGTTACTGAAGAACGATACCTAAAGTCATCCTCCGGCTTTCACATACAGATATGCACCTGTGCATGCATTGAACTCTCAGCAACTTTATACTTACTTGCACACATATGAATATGCATATACGCACACACATATACTTCCTCTTGAAGCAAAAGGATAAAATGGCCACTCTGCTTCCATCTTCCTAAAATTTATGGTTTTGAGCCCTAACTTAGTGCATGTGGAGGGGAAATGCTGTGAGGTGTTTCGGGAGGAGTGAGTTCAAGACAGAGCTGTGAGAAAGTGCCATGCATTTTTTTCCTTTGATGTTTGTGAATTAATTTAATAATCACAATGCTCCTAGAAAGTGGGTGCTCTTGTTGCTCTCACTCTGCAGAGGGGAGACGAGACTGTAAGTCAAGTTTCCATCTGTGTGTTTCTCCAGAGATTCTAGCCGCTCAGCAGCAGCAGCTCCTCTGGGGAGGTTGACATATGGTGGGCATCCAAAGGGAGGGGTCATGTTTTGTCTCACGTGCTTAATAAGAAGGTGTAGAGTTATTCAAAAAAAGCAGCCATTTACTCTGTGCAGTGGAGTTCCAGGCTTCAGCACTGCGGACTGTGAAAGGAGAAATAAATACACCGTTGAAGTGGGCTTGCCCTTGCTGTGCTCACTGATAGGATTTAAATGTGAACATGCATTAAGTTAGAAAAGAGGAATGGTTGTAGCACCGAAAGGGAAGGGGAAGGGTGGGTGTGATATCAAAAGTGACGAGAAAGGAGGGAAAAGTCAGTTATAAATGAACAATACCCTGATATGTGTCGGAATGAGAATTCAAAGGTGAGAAGGCACAATCCTATAAAAATTCACGGGGGTCGTGGTGTATAGAACCCACACATAGAACTTGGCCACTACCGTACCTCACAGGACAGGATGTGAGCCTGGGAGAAGATAACAGTGTCTTTGTATTCCTCTGAGCTGAGAACTGGAGGCTGTGACTGATGTGGGTGAGATGGACGAGAGCATGAACAGAGGCGTGTGTCTTCTCACCGTGCTGAGAGCAGGGCTGTGCAAATGCTCTGAAGCCTCGAATTAAGGCATTAGTCACGTGCTCCAGTCCTGATCTGGTAGTTTTCTTCTTTGTTTAAATGAAAAATGATTTTTTTTAAAGGAATGGTACATAAGTAGCAATTTTTATGTCACCTTACCTCTCCCGTTGTCTCAAATTGTTGGTCTGTTAATATATGTATGCTCACACATGTATATCGTGTAATAACCTGCTGAGCCCATGGACAGTCTCTCATGTGCACACATACACGAGCACTCTCACACACAGACACTTAAAGCTCACCATATGTCTATCTCATCTTCTATCTCAAAAATAGGCCAGTTCTGAAATTGCTTTACTGGTTACATAACCTCTGACTTGTTCATTTCTTTCTCTTCCTTTTTCCCTTAACTAATATGTTTTCACTTTGTCTCTGAAACAAATCCATTCTGTTGCATTTAACTCATATCTCTGTAAAACTGGGGTAAAAGTCTCCGTACCTCCCAGGCTCTGAGTGGAGTCGGTGGGGCGAATGGGGCTAATGTATGGCAGGAATCAAAGAATGGAGGGGGTTGCAGGGAAAGATCTTGGGGTCTCAGCCGTCCAGGAATGACTGAGATCAGAACTCTGCTGGTGAGGGGATGGAAGCTGCAGTTAGGTCCATGTGGTACTAGCAGCACAAGAGTGGCAGTGTGCTCCAGTTGCACAGGGCGGCTTGATAGAAGCGATGAGTGATTCCACCAGGCAAGGAAACAAGGTTTAAAAAAATTAATTAATTAATTAATTAATTAATTACAGTTTATTCACTTTGTATCCCCCCGTAACTCCCTTCCTCCTCTCCTCCCAATCCCAACTTCCCTTCCTCTTCTCCACCCGTGTCCCTCTCCCAGTCCACTGATATGGGAGGTCCTCCTCCTCTTTCCTCTGATCCTAGTCTATCAGGTCTCATCAGGAGTGGTTGCATTATTTTCCTCTGTGGACTGGTCAGGCTGCTCCCCCCTCAGAGGGAGGTGATCAAAGAGCAGGACAATCAGTTCATGTCAGAGACAGTCCCTGTCCCCATTACTATGGAACCCACTTGGACACTGAACTGCCATGGGCTACCTCTGTGCAGGGGTTCCAGGCCATCTCCATGAGTGTTCCTTGGCTGGAGTATCAGTCTCAGAAAAGAACCCTGTACCCAGACTTTTTGGATCTGTTGCTCTCCTTGTGGAGCTCCTGTCCTCTCCAGGTCCTGCTATCTCCCACTTCTTTCTTAAGATTCCCTGCACTCTGCCCAAAGTTTGGCTATGAGTCTCAGCATCTGCCTTGATACCCTGCAGGTATCAAGGCAGAGGCCCTCTGTGGTAGACTCCTCTCCTGTTCCCTGTTTTCTCCCTCCTCCAATGTCCATCTTCTTTGCCTTTCTGAATAGGGATTGAACTTCTTAGCCAGAGTCCTCCTTCTTGATTAACTTCCCTAAGTGTACAGATTCTAGTAGGTTTATCCTATATTATATGTCTAATATCCACTTATGAGTGGGTATATATGCTGTGTGTCTTTTTGCTTCTGGTGTACCTCACTCAGGATGATCTTTTCCAGTTCCCACCATTTACCTGCAAATTTCATGATTTCCTTGCTTTTTATTGCTGAGTAATATTCCATTGTGTAAATGTACCACAATTTCTGTATCCATTACTCAACTGAGGGGCATCCGGGTTGTTTCCAGCTTCTAGCTATTACGAATAAAGCTGCTACAAACATGGTAGAGCAAATGTCCTGGTTGTATACTTGAGTGTCTTTTGCATATATGCCTAGGAGTGTTATAGTGGATCTTGAGGAAGCACTATTCCTAATTGTCTGAGAAAGCTCCAGATTGATTTCCAAAGTGCTTGTACAAGTTTACATTCCCACCAGCAGTGGAGAAGGGTTTCCCTTTCTCCACATCCTCTTCAGCATGTGTTGTCACTTGAGTCTTTGATCTTAGCCATTCTGATGGATGTAAAGTGAAATCTCAGGGTCATTTTGATTTGCATTTCCCTGATGACTAAGAACGTTGAACATTTCTTTAAGTGTTTCTCTGCCACTCGATATTCCTCTATTGAGAATTCTGTTTAGCTCTGTACTCCATTTTTAATTGGATTACTTGATTTGTTGCTGTTTAACTTCTTGAGTTCTATATATTTTTTGGACATTAGCCCTCTGTTAGATAGAGCGTTGGTGAAGATCCTTTTCCAATCTGTAGGCACTCATTTTGTTTTGACGACAGTGTCCTTTGCTTTACAGAAGCTTTTCAGTTTCATGAGGTCCCATTTATTGATTGTTGCTCTTAGAGCCTGTTGAGGAAATTGTCTCCTGTGCCAATAAGTTCAAGGCTCTTCCCCACTTTTTTCTTCTAACAGGTTTAGTGTCAGTTGTTATATTTAGGTTGTTGATCCACTTGGACTTTAGTTTTGTGCAGGGTGATGAAACATGTTTTTTTTTTTTTTAAATAAAAAGTAATACAATGATCTTCTGGGTTTTACTTAATTAAATTTATATTTAAAACATAACTTGAACTGAATATTAAATGAGTAACAAACATATTATGCTTACTTTTTAATGCATTCTCTTTAGGCACAAATTTGCATAATAGTAAAAGACATGGTTCTCAGGACAGCTGGGCCTCAGTTTCTGGCTTCTGGACACTTATATTCCTTTGAGGCTCTTTCTTTCTTTCTTTCTTTCTTTCTTTCTTTCTTTCTTTCTTTCT